TTAATAATAAAATTAATAATAAATTATGTAAAAATTCAGAAAGTAATAAAATATTATGAAATGAAATTTTTTACAATATATATTGAATTACAATAAAAATGATTAAATTTGAAGTAATCTAAAAATGATAAACTTGAAACAAAATATGTTAAAATATGAGCTATTGAATTTTGAAAGTTTACGTTATCATTAAAAAATTTAACATTGAACTTTGAAGGTTTTTGATAATGAAATAATACATATCGAAATTTAACTGTTAAATTTTGATTTCGAAGGGTTGTGACACAATCAATAACCTTCGAAATCTAATATTACAATATAATTTCGAAGATTTTTAAATTAATATATTTACTGATGTTGCATCCAAATAATTTTAATACATATAATTATATATTATAATTTGACTTTATTTATTTTTTGTTAAAATTTTGATATCTTATATTAAGTTTGCTTAGAGTTATTATAAAAAACATTTGCTTATTTTTGTCTAAAATTTTGTAGATCCAGTATGACATTTATTAGTATATTTCAGAATTCTTAGGAACTACCGATAACAACATTATGAAAATTACTGATTTTTATAATTTTTTCAATTTTTTGAACTTAAATTTCTTGATAACTAGTAATTTAATCTGTTTGATTTTTTAAATATATACTAATTTTTTTATATAAAATCAGATTTTGAAATTTATTTTATTTGTTACTATCCTGAATAAAAAATTGAAAATTCATTTTTTTTACAAATTAATTAATTTCAATAATATAATATTATTAAACTGAATATGAAATTCATTATTTAAAACTTTTTTAATTTCTATTTTATCATAAATATAAATTTATAATATTATTATTAAAACATGTATTATAAATTAAAGTTAAAAGTGATACGTTTTATTTTGAAAGTCACTATATTATCTTGATTTAAATATAAGCTAAAAATATTTTTTCAGTTATAAACAAATTAAAATAAAGATAATTTTTATTATATCCCAATTTACAATTTTAGATCAAATTAAAAAGTAAACTGATATATCATGTCAAGTAAAAAATTTTTGAACAGTAGAAAAAAATTTGTTTTCTATATGTATCAAAATGAAATTAAAAAGTGAAAAAAAATCTAGATATTAAAAAGTAAAAAAATAGAAACAAGATCCTACAATTTTTATTGGTTAAATTTAAGAAAATCTGTTTTTTGATTGGACTTCATGCACTGTAGTACTATAGTACTAAATTTCAAATTTCAAAATATTTTATTATTTTGAAATTGAACAACTAACTGATTAAGTTATTATAATATTGTTATTAAATTGAATAATTATTACTTTTTGTTTTTCTTTTTACAAGTTATACAATAAGTTCTTTTTTTTTCCATTCTGATAAGTATGCTTGTAAAATCATTTCAGTATTGTTTCCTTCTGAATATTTATTTTTAATAACTATTGTTTTAAATATTATTTTTTTTTTGAAATAAAATAAAATTCAATTTTCTAAAATAAACTTATGTAATTAATATAATATAATTAATATGAAATAATTAGGTGTTTAATTTCTATGTAAACACATGGCAGTGGTGACAAATATGGTTTTCGCATAGGAAAAATTCCTTCCCCTGTTTAACCCTAACCATAAAATTTTTGAAGTGCAGATTTCCTTTGCTAGATCGTTTTACAAAGTTGTTATGTTTTACCATATTTAGGCTTGAGATACATTTTTCAAGTAGATCAATTACTATTTGTAAGCAATCACATGTTATTTAAGTCACACAACTTAGATTTATGTTTGAAAAGATAGAAAATTGAGACTTCTCAACTTAACGGACAACCCTTGTCACACAATAAAACTTTAGTCCTCGTGAAAAATTTTCAAACATATTTGATAGTAAGTGATTAAAAAAGTTTTCACCTTATTTCGTTCAGAACATGTATTTTGTCTTTGTGGCTTTTTGATTATTTGTTATAAACTTTGCCTCAACTTTTGCAAATATTTACCTTAAGAATAAAAATATATACGAAAAACAAACTCAACTATCTTCTTTTTTTTCTAAAATGATAAGTTAGTTTTAAGCCATGCAAGCCCATAGCGAGGCTAATAACCCAGATTTAGGGCAATCGCCCAATTTTATGAGAACTCAACGTGTTATAACTACTGGTTCGAGTGATGTCAATTCATCAACTTCTTCAACGACAACTCCTGTAACACCCTTGTCCCAGGAACAATTAAATAACTTGAAACTTCAGATCTTAGCTTTTAAATTGATTTCACGTAATATGCCTTTGCCACTGCCATTACAGACTGCAATGTTTTCACCTAATCAAGTAGGTCAAGTGTCAACGCAAGAGTTGATTAACACATCTTTACCTGGAAAAATTATTGAAGCATCCCATAATCATCATGCATATTCGCATGGGTCACATACATCGAATTGTTCTCAAGCGGATAATTCTTCTTCCGTTCAATCACAAAAGTCTTACAATTCTTATACAAATCCGCTCGTATTTTTAAAACCAATTAATATCTATTCTCATTCATCTCGACAACAAAGATTAATGATCCCCTCAATAACGCCTGTTGGGCTTGACCCCCAAGACATTGCTGATGAAAGAGAACGGCAATTGAATGCTGCTGCAGAGCAAAGAGTTCTCGAATTTAAAAATATATTGAAGCTAGGTGGATTATCTGAAGAAGATAGAATAAAAACAAAGATTTTATACTTGGCAAATAAACATAAGCATTTACAAGATAAGGTGGAAATCATCAACAAATAATTATCTCTTTATCTTTATTATTATCTTTAATTTTTTACTTACAAAGTTCATTATTTAGGTCCGCCGAGCTGTTGTTAAAGGTATGAGTCATGCAAATCCGGCCACAACAGGCGAGCGGGCGACTTATAGGAGAATGAAAAAACAATCAATACGAGATGCCAGGGTCACTGATAAACTTGAGAAACAACAACGAGAAAATAGGCAACGTTGCCAAAGACAAAAACATTTGGATTATTTGCAAAAAATAGTGAACCATAAAGCTGACATGAATCAATGGCATCGTACAAATCAAAATAAACAACTTAAATTTGGTCGTGCTGTTTTGAGTTATCATTCTCAAGTTGAAAAGGAAGAGCAAAAGAGAGAAGAGCGTCTACGCAAGGAACGTTTAAGAGCCTTAAAAAATGATGATGAAGAAGCTTATTTAAAACTCATTGACCAAGAAAAAGATACCAGAATTACACATTTGTTAAGACAAACAGATGCATATCTAGAATCATTGGCTCAAGCTGTTGTTGAACAGCAACATGACGATTTACATAACGATCCTTCAGTGAGAGGTGGTATTGAATTGATGGACGAAGACGACGAAGAAGAAGTTACTTACACTTTTGTGGTATATTGGAATTATTTAATTTATGATATTTTTTTTTTTCTATTTGTGCTATTTTAATATTTTTGATCTTTAATTATTTAATAGAATGGTCAAAAAGTTGAATATTATAGAGTCGCACATAGAATTAAAGAGGAAGTTGAACAGCCTAAAATGCTTGGAGGAGGTGTTCTTAAAGATTATCAAGTGAGGAAATTTATTAAATTTAAATTTTCAATTGTTTGATTTTAAGAAATTATTTTCATTAACAAATTATTTTTTTTACAAAAGGTTAAAGGGTTACAATGGATGGTATCATTATATAACAATAGATTAAATGGTATTCTTGCTGATGAAATGGGTTTGGGTAAGACTATTCAAACCATATCTTTGATAACATATCTTGTCGAAAGAAAAAAACAAAATGGACCATTCTTAATTGTAGTTCCATTGTCGTAAGTGTTAAATATATATATTTTTTTATATGAATGATTAAATATGAAATTATTCTAACTTCCAATATTTTCGTTATTAGAACTTTGACTAATTGGACAATTGAATTCGATAAGTGGGCACCATCTATCAGAAAATGTGTTTATAAAGGAAGCCCTGGTGTTAGAAAAGAACTTCAACAATTATTTATCAAGCATATTGACTTTCAAGTTCTCCTTACAACTTATGAATATATTATTAAAGACAAATCCATATTGAGTAAAATAAGATGGGTCTACGTGATTATTGATGAAGGTCATCGTATGAAAAATGTCAATTCTAAATTGTCTATTATTTTGACCAACAATTATCAATGTCGGTATCGTCTAATTCTTACCGGAACTCCTTTGCAGGTATTTTATATTCAATATAGTTATTGTTGAAAAATTATTAAATATATATATATAACTTGTTATTTATTTTTTTCTTATCAATATGTACAGAACAATTTGCCAGAGTTATGGTCACTGTTGAATTTTATTTTGCCCAAAATTTTTGATTCAGTGAAAAGCTTTGACGAATGGTTTAACACCCCATTTGCAAATACTGGTGGTCAAGATAAAATAGCTTTGAACGAAGAAGAGTCTTTACTTATTATCAAACGTTTACACAAGGTTTTACTTTGGTGATTTGTTTTTATACATGTATTTTTTTGTTTATTTTAATTTTAATAATACTAAGATATTTATTTGTTTATTTTAGGTGTTACGTCCTTTCTTGTTACGTCGGCTAAAGAAGGATGTTGAATCAGAATTACCAGACAAGGTCGAAACAGTCATCAAATGCAAACTTTCTTCATTGCAATTAAAATTATATAGTCAAATGAATAAACATGGAGTTTTGTTTGTTAATAAAGGAGTAAAAGGGTAAATATATATTTTTTTTTATATCAAATTAATAATTAAATAGAATAATTTTATTATTTTTAACACGCAAACTTTTGTTCTTAGAAAAACTGGTATCAAGGGTTTGAATAACACCATAATGCAATTGCGAAAAATTTGTAATCATCCATTCGTCTTTGAAGAAGTTGAAAATGATCTCAATGGTAATGGGATCACTCGTCCTATAAATTCCCCAATTACTACAAATCCTTTGATTTATCGGGTTTCTGGGAAATTTGAATTGTTAGATAGAATATTACCTAAATTCTATGAAACAAATCACAGGGTATGAATTAAATTTTAAATCATTTAGATAATATTTTTAATATTTGTAAAAGCTAATATTTTAAAAAAAATTTAAATCTGATAATAGGTATTAATTTTCTTCCAAATGACAGCTATTATGAGTATAATGGAGGATTTCATGTTATGGAGAGGTTATAAGTACTTGCGTTTGGATGGTACTACAAAGGTATTATATTTAATCTAATAAGTTTGTTTAGTTAACTTTTATTTAATGAATTTTATATATTGATGTGAATTTTTATTAAAGGCGGATGAGCGTTCAATCCTTTTGAAGCAATTTAACTCTGAAAATTCGGATTATTTCGTGTTTTTGCTTAGTACTCGTGCTGGTGGTTTAGGTTTAAACTTGCAAAGCGCCGATACTGTTATAATTTTTGATTCAGACTGGTAAGTTGATTTTATTTTTTATAAGTTTCTCTATTATACTTAATGTTCAATATATTTAATCATAAAAAAATATAGGAATCCTCATCAAGATTTACAAGCACAAGATCGCGCACATCGTATTGGGCAGACAAGAGAAGTTCGAATTTTACGTTTGATCTCACAAAGATCAATTGAGGAAGCAATTTTAGCTCGAGCTCAGTATAAATTGGACATTGATGGGAAAGTTATTCAAGCTGGTAAATTTGATTTAAAGAGCAATGCGCAAGAGCGAGAAGAATTCTTGGTGAGTATTTTATGGATAATATTTTATCGATTTTTTTAAGATTTATTTATCAAATTTTTTACGTTTAAAATAGCGTTCACTTCTAAAAGAAGAGACCGAAGAGATAAATGATGTTGAAGAGGAGGAGGATATGGATGATGATGAACTCAATTCAATAATTTCTCGTAACGAGAAAGAGATTGAGATATTCAAACAAATGGATATTGAAAGAAATAAAAGGGAAGAACAAGAATGGAGACGAAGTGGTGGTACTGGAAAACGTCCATCGAGATTAATTGAAGAATATGAGTTACCACAAGTATATAGAAAAGAATATGATACAATTGTACAAAACTCAGATTCTACTATATATGGTCGCGGGCAAAGACCAAGAGGTTCAGTTCATTACGATGATGGATTGACAGAAGAACAATGGGTTAATGTAAGTGAAAGAGTGTGAATATTTTTCTTTTTGTACAATAAGTACAATAATACTCAAAATTCAAGTATGATTACAGGCGATTGAAGATGTAGAAATAGATGTTGACGATTTGATCGCAAAAAAACAAGCAGCAAAAAAACGACGTCTTGCTAAAAAGAGTCAAAAGTTAACATCTCAAAATCCAAACGAAACATCACAGCAATCTACTCCACATCCAGAAGAGATAAGGTCAGATAATGAGTCTAAGAAAAAACGTGGTCGCCCTAGGAAAGATGATGTACAAAATTATGATGATAATATGGCCGAATCTTCAAAGTCTGCAAAGAAAAAGGGTAAAGGAAAGCGTGTAGAAATAGTTGAATACGATGCCGAGACAAAAATTGTAATTATTCAATCATCTTTCTTTTTGTTATTTGCGGGTATTGTTATATATTTCTTTTAATTCATATTATATCCACTAAATCTTTGATTTATAAAGAAAAAACGTAAAATGACCAAAAAAAGCCAAAGAGAAGAGGGCCCTGACACAATCCCTCAAACTATAAGAGAAAAACAGAAATCCATTTTCACAACGATATACAACCACATTGAAAATTTGACAGATGAAAGCGAAGGGTAATTATTACATTTATTTCATCCATTTTGTAAGACTAACATTATCAAGATAAATTTTATTAAATTCACTTTTGACTGTTTGAAAATTGCAGAATACCACGGCAACGTTCATTTCTCTTCCTTGCTCTTCCTAGCAAAAAAGATTACAATTATTATTATAAGATAATACAGAAACCCATTGCAATGGACATGATTAGACGAAAGATTAAAAATAATGTTTATCAAACAGTAACTCAATTCAAGGATGATTGGCATTTGATGTTCAATAATGCTAAAATTTTTAATGAAGAGGGTTCACAGGTCTACAATGATGCTTTAAAGATGCAGGTATGTTTAACTTTTCTTTTCAAGATTTTAAATCAAACATTTTACTAACGTTATTTTAATTTAATAGGAAGAATTTGATGCAAAATTCGAAGAATATTGTCCGGGAGGGCAACTTCCAGTGGATGATTATGAGATGGAATTCTAAGATATTATAAAGAGTTACCAAATTAAAGGGTCAACTTCCAATGGACGGTGGTGGTGAGATGGAATTTAAAGATAACTTTCAGTATCGTGAGCAAGTGCCAAGATAAAAATTCTAATTAAAGATTTTCTAAATTTTTTATTTATTATTAAAACGTTTATGAATTTTTTTTAATACATGTTACTAAAAAACAATAATAAAAAAATGAAGGACACTTAATTAAAAGGAAAACCACCACATATGAAGTTAAGGTTAAATAGGGTTAATTTTTGATAGATTAATGTTGGTAGGGAATTTTTTATACTGGTGATCTTAATGGAATATTTGATCTCACTCAAAAAATAAAAGAATCCTGTAAATTGACATTTTTAGAATATATTAGGGGGGGGGGCAATCATCTATAATCACGTGATCATGACACAGATAATGTGTGGAATTTTGTATCAAAAAAAAAATATATAGAATATTCGGGTAGATTATTACACAATTTTAGTTTAGTGTGATATTCATTAAATATTTTTTCAAAAAATAAAAATGAAGTAAATAATATATAATACAACATAAATTGATGATAAAAAATATTTCAAAGAAAAAAATATGAAAGAGATTATCATGTTCTTGAATAAAAGTAAAAAAATAGTAACACAATTGAGAAAATAAGCAAACCATTTTCTAATTACCCTACTAATAATTACTAATAATTCGTGCACGAAACAAAACAAAAAGAAGAAAAAAAAAAATACTACCAAAATTTAAAATTTTAAAGTTCTAATTTATCACAAGAATCGCGTGACGAGTTACAGAAGGATTATTTTCATTATTATCATCATTACAAGCCCCTTGCATGTGAAGCTTTTCAATTTCTCTTCCACTAATCAAAGCATACTCTGAAACAACTTCCGAATATTTATTAATTGATGATGTTCCATTCCAAGCGAGAAAATAAATATTTTTGCCAAATTCGTTTAAAAATAATTTTAATCCTCCCGGAGTTAATGACCAACCTCGTAAATCTAAATGATGTAAACTGGTTGGCATTTTTCTTCCGATCTGAGGTAATAAATAATCTAAATCACATCTATAAGTCATGGAAACTTTTGGTACGGCCAATCGTTCGAGATTTGTGCATGACATCAAGATGGGAAATAAATTTTCAAGATGATCCATACTAACTTCAAGAGTTCGAAGATTTAATCCATAAGAGACAACATCATCATTAAGTTCAGGACAAAAATGAAAAATGTTTCCTAATTTGAGTTCCTTCAAATTTGAACCATTAAATGATAAGAAAGATGAAAGTTCTTTATTTGGTAAATTTCTTCCAAACTCATCCCATTCGGAATAAGACCAAAATTGGGGGGAATATTCAAAGTTTTCTAATTTTGGATAATAAGCTTCAGACAATGGTTTTAATATATCATTGCTTAAAGCGTGACAATGTTGGAATTTAAGAGAAACCAAATTTTTGCAAACTCGAAGATTTGATAAAGCATTACCGATTATATTATAACGAAACCAACAATTCCGGAAAATCATATTAGTTAAGGTAGCTGCTTGTGTAGCTAACGCAGGTAAAATGTCTGTAAAATAAATACACCTTTCTAAAGTAAAATTGGTTAATTTGTTTTGAACAGTAATAAAAGCAGCCATTGATTCCATAGGAGTTATTATCTTAGTGGAAGGACCCTTTTGAGTATCTTCAATAATTGTGAGAGAATGAATATTTCGAGAAACCTGACCAAAAGAATGTAATATATTTGATTTATTAAAGTTTCCAGCTAAAGTAAGATTTTCTAATCTAAATAAATTATTTAATGTTGTAGAATTGATGGCTTGACATAATATATCTACGGAAGGTATTCGTGAATCTGATTCTTCCTCAATAATAAAATTATTGATATGTTGTGATCTCGTTAACAACATTTTACAAAATTCTTGGGAAAATTGTCGATGAATTAATTTAGGAAATAAAGATGTTAATGCTAAATTTGCATTACCTTTATCAATTGAGCCAAATATAAGTTTTTTATGAGATAACCATGCTGATATTGCTCGATTCACATATCTATAATTAAATTCTCTTAAGAAAGCCGGATAATCAAATAAAGGATGTTTATATTCATTTTCCGTAATACTCAATTCTTTCTTTATATCATCGTTAAGAAAATGAATATAAGAAGAAATAATTTTTGAAGAAGAAGAAAATATGAATGGATTTTGCCATAAAAAAGCCATTGAATTTCTACACCATTGACGATTCACGAAAATAAAAGAATAAAAAGATTCGATATCATTATTCGATATATAAGAGAATATATTTTGAAATATTTCTGAAGGTATATATGTATTCATTGTTATCATTAAATAATTGAAACAAAAAAGGACAATAAATTATAATAAATAAATAATAATAAAAATAATAATAACAATAAATAAAAAAAATAAAGTATAAATAAAGTTTTTTAAAATGTTTTGAGGTTTGAAAGATAAAATAATTCTCAAAGGCAAATCGATAAACGTTTTTCCATTGCATGTATTAAACGAAGATTGATTGGTTTGTACGACAAATTTTACAAATTGCACCATCATTGATCCAATTGATCCCAATTGATCCAATTCAAAAATAATAAAAACGGAGCGATGATCATTTCTTTAATTTCTATATAAAGACACGAAGAAATCTAGTTTTTTTAGTTGCCTTTGGTTAAAATGTACAATAAAGGAATTTTTGAATTTTAAAAAATGTTTACATTCACAAGGATACACAAGAATACAAATTTACAACA